ATCATAAAAAAACCCACTTGACTTTGTAATCAGATTCATAAATAACAACAACAACAAAATCAAAATAATGATAATAATAATCATAATAGTGACAATAACAGTAACACATTAAAATACAAATAATAACTGTGCTCTTGTATTTCTATAAGCTGATACTTGAAGATTCCCCTTATAATAAGACTTCCTTAAAACAATGCAGTGGATGTGTCTCATAAATTTAGACAAAGGATTCTCAAAAAATCTCCCATCCCAACATATATGTATATATATATATATATTTGTATCTATGTATAATTTGTAAATAGTTAATGAGAGAATGACAGCTGCGTGTCATCTGCTATTTAATAGTGATCTGTAATATGGAAATGATTTGTGAAGTTGTGTGTGTGCTTTGACATGATGTGTGATGTATGACATGATGTAATGAACTGTGTTTTACCTTCAGAATATCAAAAAATAATTTTAATCATAAGGTCTCAGAATTATAAACCATTCCTTTTCTGAACAAAAGATTCAGAAAATGATACAACTAAACTTCTTGGAATGAATTTTGAAGCAAAGATTTGAGTGTGTGTCTGCTTTCAATAACAAAAGTGACTTTTTTTCTCTGTTCATCCACAACCATGCATACCATCCATTACTGAACATTTAAACGCCTTACTAGCTCTTAAATCAAGAATGTATGAGTTACCACATTAATGGAAATTTCCGTCTCGGTTTTAATTTCTCTAAGAACTCAAAATCCTTAACAGAATATCACATTTCATTCAGCCTCTCATCCACGCACAAAACACATTTGCCCAAATTTTGTCTTAAACCGTAAAAAAAAAAGGGGGAGGGGGGGGGAATAATACCAAAATAAATAACAAATAAACATCTAATAAAGGTTATAATCAACAAAAGATGTTAAAAAAAAACACTACAACTCTCTAACATTAAGAAAACCTCTGTTGTCATTAGAGTCAATCATGTTTTAAATGCAAAAAAAGATTTAAGGTTTACACTAATGCAACATATCATTTTCTTCAACATCAATAACCTGCAGCCTGAATATTAACAACACTGATTACAATCTTGATAAAGCAAAATCTAACACAATCATCAAATCACATAATATTGAAAGTAGTGCTAAGAAAAGATTAATGATACAGCAGTCAATAATAAAGACAGAATCAATAGTCATTTAGCCTAGGCACAGAACTTGCTAATCTGCATGAACATTTTTGTACGAAAAGAAAGATTAAAAACAATAAAAAATAAACAATTAATCTAAAATATTGCGGCAAGTTCAAACTTAGATTTTGAATTTTGTGAACAAAAGCAATAATTCATAATAATACATCAAAAAATCAATAAAAATATCTATCACCTCCATTGAATTGAAAGAAACAAAAAACAATATAAAATCCCTCAGTACCTGGAAAGGGCATCATTAAATCAAGCAAAATATCAAAATAAGGAATATAAATGGAATTTTCTTGATACAAGTGCTCCCCTTCATCCTTTTATCAATAACATGAAGAAAATATGATACATTCTTCTTTATTATTATTTTTTTTTATTTACATCATTATCATTATTATTATGTTTTTTTTTTTTTACTTTTCAGACAGATTTAATCCAACCAGAATCAAAGACAGGTAAAGTCGGAGCCAGAATGGGAATGCAAAAGAGAACAGAAGAAAATAAAGAAAAAAAAAGAAACTAACATTAAGAAAACCTCTGTTGTCATTAGAGTCAATCATGTTTTAAATGCAAAAAAAGATTTAAGGTTTACACTAATGCAACATATCATTTTCTTCAACATCAATAACCTGCAGCCTGAATATTAACAACACTGATTACAATCTTGATAAAGCAAAATCTAACACAATCATCAAATCACATAATATTGAAAGTAGTGCTAAGAAAAGATTAATGATACAGCAGTCAATAATAAAGACAGAATCAATAGTCATTTAGTCTAGGCACAGAACTTGCTAATCTGCATGAACATTTTTGTAAGAAAAGAAAGATTAAAAACAATAATAAATAAACAATTAATCTAAAATATTGCGGCAAGTTCAAACTTAGATTTTGAATTTTGTGAACAAAAGCAATAATTCATAATAATACATCAAAAAATCAATAAAAATATCTATCACCTCCATTGAATTGAAAGAAACAAAAAACAATATAAAATCCCTCAGTACCTGGAAAGGGCATCATTAAATCAAGCAAAATATCAAAATAAGGAATATAAATGGAATTTTCTTGATACAAGTGCTCCCCTTCATTCTTTTATCAATAACATGAAGAAAATATGATACATTCTTCTTTATTATTTTTTTTTATTTACATCATTATCATTATTATTATATATTTTTTTTTACTTTTCAGACAGATTTAATCCAACCAGAATCAAAGACAGGTAAAGTCGGAGCTAGAATGGGAATGCAAAAGAGAACAGAAGAAAATAAAGAAAAAAAAAAAGAAAAAAAGAAAAAAAAGGGGAAAAAAAGGGAAAAAAAAGAAAAAGAAATAAAAAGAAAAAGAAGAAAAAAAAAAGAAGAAGGTGGGATAAATACATTAATTTAGAATTACGAACAAAATTTATGCACAAAATACATACAAAAGTATAAACTACTAAAAGATCAAATGACAAATGTTTGTTAATAACTGGGGTTAAATGGAGATTATTCAGTAAATATCTTGCTTTCCTTGAAAATATCAATCAAAATAATGTACTTCAGGTTTGCTCAATCAATTTATATAATTTTTTGGATGAAACAACAATAATAACAACAGCAATAAAGCCATTGACAATAGTGACAGAGGAATATTGAGGAAATAATAAGAATGATTAACATAACTTTTGATAATTACTATAATTACAATAATAATGATAATAATAATAATGATAATAATAATAATAATAACCTTATAATCTTTCTGAATTAAGCACTCTGAATATTGGTCACTCATTGCCAATCCTTTCACACACTCTCCAGGAATGCGACTCAATTCTAGGGACTAGCTTAACAAACTTCTTAACCTCTTGCAAAATTCCTATCAAGTCTGAACACATTTACATTTTCTTTTTTCTATAAGTCATTTGGTAGTACAGAAATGCAAAACTGTCTGGGAGTAATATTACACATCCTACAAGAGCTGCAACATTATGCATTCTCCGCCTCATTCTAAAAACGCAACGAGTCGAGTTATGGAGTTAACGAGCTTCGAAAATTCTTATTAGTTCCAAGTCAGTTAAACATATTGGAAAACTACCAATTCACATGCCAAACAGTAAATGAGATTCCTGTTTTTATTAATTCCATTTTTTCGGCCTATCAAGTGCTTATATGTACTCGAATACCTTCCTCGACAAATGATCAGTTATGTGTTATCTCTTGATGATGCATCTAAGGTTATTATGAAAAATAAGGTGTTTCTCTAGGTAACATTTCTGCATTAGTTAAAATTTCCAAACTGTATGTTTCCAGCCAAACACAAAATTGACTTGTAATACTTGTCTATGGAATGTTTTTGTCTTTTAAACTTTACTGGAATGTTTGCTAGTGAGTACCCATCTGAAAAAGGTTGGGAGGGATGAAGGGGCAAGAAAAGGAGAAAAAATGAGAAAAGAGGAAGGGAGGAACAGAGGAAGGGAAAGAGAGTGGAACAGAGGACCAGTGGAAAGGAGAAGGGGAGGAGGAAAAGATGGTATAAAAGAATATGAGAGGATGGGAGGGAATATAAGAATGGAAGAGGATAGAGAGAGATAGAGAATGAGTGAGAAAAGGGGAAACAAAGAGAGAAAGAGGGGTAAAATGGGTTGGAGAAGGGGGAGAGAATGGAACAGAGCAAACAGACAAGAGAAAAATGAGAAATATATAGAATGAAGAGGTTGCACCAATCAAATTACATATCAATTCATCATTACAAATGTTTGTGCAAAATACACACATAAACATCCTTTTACACACATGCCCACAGACAGACACAGACACAAACACACACACACACATATTTCGCTCTCTCTTCCCTATCTCTCTATCATCCATTTATTCACACAATGCAAGTACATAAATCATTTGTGTTCAGCTGTGTAAACAAAATAAGTTAAACAGTATTTGCCTTTAACATGGTCGGGAAACAAACGTTAACGAGACCCATCTCACCTGATGTACCATTTAAAATTTGTTTAAATTTAGTTCTAACTAGCATAAGGTATTAAAATGAATTATTCAATTATAGATCCATGCACAAATATATCAAAGGTGCCAACTAGGATTTTGTAACACCTCACTTGTGTTCCATATACTCTTTGTGGGTACACATGTTACAATTAATAATTTGGTTGCATTCTGTAGTTCCCAGCTAAAATAATAAGTTAACAATATTATCATTTGTTAAAAATATATAAATATATACAAGTGCACATAAATCCTACCATCTCATTATCCGCACAACAGAATTCAAATTACTTCTTGATACAGCAAAATAAACAACCTTGCATCAATGTTAAAATGACAAAGTGAGAAAGTGTGTGTGTGAGAGAGAGAGAGAGAGAGAGAGAGAGAGAGAGAGAGAGAGAGAGAGAGAGAGAGAGAGAGAGAGAGAGAGAGAGAGAGAGAGAGAGAGAGAGAGAGAGAGAGAGGAGAGGGAGAGAGAGAGAGGAGAGGGAGAGAGAGAGAGGGAGAGAGAAAGAGAGTGGGAGGGAGAGAGAAAGAGAGTGGGAGGGAGAGAGAAAGAGAGTGGGAGGGAGGGAGGGAGGGAGGGAGGGAGGGAGGGAGGGAGAGAGAGAGTGAGGGAGAGGGAGAGAGGGAGAGAGGGAGAGAGGGGAGAGAGAGGGAGAGAGAGAGAGAGGGAGAGAGAGAGAGAGGGAGAGAGAGAGGAAGAGAGAGGGAGAAGAGAAGAGAGAGAGAGAGAGAGAGAGAGGAGAGAGAGAGAGAGAGAGAGAGAGAGGGAGAGGGAGGGAGAGAGAGAGAGAGAGAGAGAGAGAGAGAGAGAGAGAGAGAGAGAGAGAGAGAGAGAGAGAGAGAGAGAGAGAGAGAGAGAGAGAGAGAGAAAAAAGAGAGAGAAATCATGATTGCTTTCTCCCACGAGCTTCCACTTCATATATATACGTCTACTGGGAACCACATTCCAGGTTAAATTCACTAAAGGCCATTATGTGATAATACAACATGTCTTAAACTAATTCATCTGGTAAGAGCCTGGTTGCAATTTTTTTTTTCTTTTGTTTTATTTTTTTTTAATACAAAGCATTAGATATTCTTTCCATTAAATCTTATTAAATCCACTTTCTCCCTTACAGACTACAACTCTTTCCAATGACTACTTAATAATGAGGGAGTGAAAACAGAGGTGTGTACTAACGGAATCATACTGGGTGGTAATCTGTACCAAATAGAATATACTGGGGAAAAAAAAAAAAAACAAATCTGAATAATACTCATTATAGATCCCACTGTTTGCTATACTCTGTGTAAGACTAAACTAGTTGAAAGCTTTTAACCCAAATAGCTCTCTCTCACCTCCCAAGCACCAGCATCTACTAAAAGTTCACTTCTGTAAGTCAAAAAAAAACAAAAAAAACATCACAAAGGTTGAAATACTGTACTTCTAAATCAATATATGGAAGAAGCTCTTTACTGGGCTATTTAGCGGCCCAAACTTCACTGCACTACTTTCTGAGACAGTCACTTGTAGCACATCAACACCTAATCACAGCTAGCTATTATTAGTGACAGCAAGGAATTTGGAGAACCAATCATTATGCTATTGATTCCCAGCCTATAGATGACTAGCTACCAATGCTGACAGAGACTGAATGCTACCCACTGTGCTGTGTTCGAACCTTGCTATTTTTTTTACCTTTTTTTTACTTTTATAAAGCAATAAAGTGCTTCTTTGTGGTATTATGGCTGCTGGTAAACAGTACAGTTTGATAATTGTAGGAAAAAGTCTTAGTCTTGCCCTTATTCATCATATTTGCTATTACTGAGTAACAGATCTAAATTCAGATATGTAACATTGTGGTAATTTACAGTATTACAAATAATTTGCTACATTTCCAGATTATGTAGGAACATTGTACTCCTTCTAAAATATACAAGCTATAACCCCATATAAATGAGGAGAGAAATGAGCTCCTTTCACTTGTAAAGGTACTCTATTCTATACCTCTTATAATGTATATACTCAAGCAGATATAGCTGGTCCTTAAAATTTACTGTTACCCTATACTGTAATTCTTTTAATCTATGTATGAATCTTTGTTTACAATGCACTATATTCAAAGTCAAGGAATGTTCTGGTCTCTGAATCCAGCAGATCTGTCAGCTTATATAAAAATCTATAAAAACATGGAATCCATCAGCGACCCAACTTAGAAAATGGGTTAATGCCTCTCTTCAAGGAGCCAAACCTTGTGCCTCCTGTCATTCTTAAGTCTGAGTCGTCCTCTTCAGGACTTTGGAGGGAGTCCTCTGCCTTCTCAACCTCTTGGCGGCTCCTCTCTACTTCCCGCTTGCTTTTATCAGCCTCTCGTCTGCTCTCCTCCAGGGTGAAGTCCTCGAAACTCATGTTGGAAATGCCTGCTGATTCAAAACTTATGTTCTTTTCGGGCTTCTTTTCTGTCTTTTCTACCTTTTTCTCCTGCTTCTCAAGCTTTTTGCTCTTTTTGCTGATTTTCTCCTTCTTTGAGTGGCCAAACTGCTTCATAGGAAGAACCATTACATTTTCCTCTTCAAATTCTTCACTGATGTTCTTGTATTTCATTCTGTCTTTGCTCCTGTCTCTGTGCCTAGGTTTACGGCTACTCATGAGGCCTCCTTCATCACTTGAAGTGTCAGAATCGGAGAATTTCTGATGTGTTGCTCTCGGCTTTCGGAAACTGGGCGGTGTAGACTTCCTCAGGGACTTGGGGACCTTGAAGTCACCAAAGAATTTATCAATGTGACCGTCATCCCTTGCCATCTGGGCCATCTGGGCTTGGAAGGTGGAACTCATGTTAGCTGGTAGAGTCTGACTTTTGCCACCTGATCCCTGACTGGAGCGCTGGTGGTGACCGATTATGGGCTTAAAAGGCACAGCACCAAACAAGTCGGCATCATCCAGGTCGGCTGAATTCACTCTAGACTGTCGGGCAACTGGCTGGATCTTTACAGAACGTGGAGTGGAAGTATGAACAGGAATGTGAGTGCTAATGTCTGTAGATGGAGTGTAATACACAGACTGACTGGAATTTGTAAAACTTGGAACACCATTTAAGACTGTCTGGCTGAGAGTTGAGAATTCTTTGGCATCAGCAGAGGGAGTAGCACTTGAAATTGTGACATCACTGAAGGGCGTGGATCCAAAGAGGTCTGTGCTTTGGAAGGATGGAGAACTAACAGATCCAGCACCAGTGTTCGGAACAAGGGAATCCAGGCTTTGGGACATCAAACCGTGATTTGATTGCGAATTTTTGAAAGGGACATTTGGTTCACTCTGCTCTGTACTTCCTGATATCACAGACTGGTTAGAAAAATGCTGATGAGGTTCTAGAGTTGCTGAAGGAACAATGTTTACTGGACTGTTACCAATGAACGGATTTACAAATGGGTTTTTCGTTGGAATCGGATTAACCACGGAGGGGATGTCTTCGGCCAAGGGCACAGGGAAGGGTCCAGGAATGTTCTCATAATGGTGATATCTAGGGGTGGTTGGCCCGTTTTCTACACTACCACCACTTGGATTGAGCACAACATTTTCATAGATGGGATACTCCTCACTCGGAGATTCTTCGTAAATGATGTCAGCTTGAACGGGCAATCTGACGGGCTCTGAAGCCTTGTCTGGGACCTCAGGGCTACCTAAGTGGGTTGGGACGGGGGAGCTGTTGGCCATGGGAGGGGTTATGATGGGTTGGCTCGTGGATTCTAGAGGCGACACAGTATTGCTGGAAGGCTGGCTGCGACTCTGGAATACTTTCTTGTTGAGTTTCTTCAGTGAAGATTTGAATGGGGCAAGTGCAAACACATCTTCATCTCCTGCATGTTCCTTATGCTTATAAGAATCATCCATAGAGGTCTTTCTGAAAGGTCTCGGAACATGAAACAAGTTACTCTTGGTGGCCGGCTGCTCAACCAATGGCACTGGCTGTGGATCTAACTTCTGCTCCTCTTGGTTGTCAGACATCTTCCCTTCCTCGTCACCAGAGTCCAATTCATCATCCAAGAGGAGAGGTTTCTCTCCGTACTCGTGGCCTAACAACCTATCCTGTGCGCACTTTCTGTTCTCCTGTTCCTGGAGAGCTTTTGCCTGAGCTCTCATGGCTGCCTTGCTGGGCTTTGGTCCGCGCCGCACTAACTGTAACGGATCGCCACTCTCTCCTGTCCTGGCAATATCGTCTTCGTGTGTGGTCACGCTCTCACACTCTGCATGGTACACTGAGGAACTAATTGTTTCCGATATATCTCCTCTATCACAATTGTCATAGTCATACTCATCGTTAATCCTATCCTTAAGGTCACTCGCCGAGCCTATGGAATCGTCGTCCGACACACTGCAGATGAAAACCCCCTCCGGCTTGCCATCCTGACCGGCCTCAAGGGAGCTCTCCTTCTGCGCCCCGGAGAGCTTGCCTCGTCTGCTCCTCTGCCTGGGGTGCTTTCTCGGCCCGACCTCCACCTGCTCGCGTGAATGGGAGGCCGGTTGCAAGTGCTTGACCTCTCGACTGCGCTGGAACACCTGGCTTTCGCCCTCCTCCTCACTCTCCTCGTCATGTGCATTCTGGAGCTTCTCATACTTAGATCTGATGGAAAATGATTCTCAAATAGTTAGATTGCAAGGGAGTTTCTTCTTATTCTTATATATCTTATAACACCAAAATCTAAAGATGAAAGACGGGGCTCTGACATATGACTTGATGGGGAAAGTGTCATGATTAAATTGCAAAAAGGTGTAATCTAATTCTGAAAAAAATCTAAAAAGAAGTGATATCAATATGAAAGAAAATTTACTTGTATTAAAAATAATTCAATCAACTGAATAATTAAACTGTGTAATTCTAATTTCATTTTTCAACAGTTTTCACAATCAAATAAAGCTGCTCTTTAAAAATATAATCTAATTATACGATACAAAAGTAAATATTATTGACATTTTGGGAAGTCCCATATGATTGCAGTCTTGCATCTATGCAGGAAAAATATATAGAATGAAAGACATTAATTTGGTAAAGTGAAATAAAAAGAAATATAAAAATTTATGTGTAAAGTACATGAATAACTTTTATGTGCAGTTGTGAAATAAAACTTCATCATATTTCATAATAGTGTTAGATAGTAACCATGACTCAAGTATTAATATGAATTGATTTATATTTTGTCTTTAACACATGGATTAGCCATGAATACTACTATTACTGTCATCACTGCAACAACTATTAATAATCATTACAAAACTAAATGGCCACACTAAAATTCCTGATCAGAAAAATAATAAATAAGTAAAGAAAAACAACAAAAATCGTTTTCAATTCCATAATCTATATTAGCAAACCTCCACCCTAACACAACACCTCACCTGTCTTCCAGCGGAGGTCTCGTGAAGTGTGAAGAGCAGACCCCTATGGTCGTCTGCTCCGTGGTCGTTCCCTGCGAGTCCTGGGAGCATTGCGAAGACACGCTGGAGCGCCGACGTCTCTCGCTGTGTAGCTGAAGGAGCTCTATGGTGGAAT